ATATATATATAGATATATATATGTATATATTGGCCAAAACACATACACCCCTTCACACACACACACACACCCACACACAATGCAGAAATAGTTAAAAGTATGTTATGCGTTCTTTGGCGTTTACAAAAATGTAAAATACATTTCAATTTGAAATTGAATTTGAATTTAAATTTAAATTGTTGAAAATGTAGCCAAAAAAAAAAAAAAAAAAAACAAAAACAAAAAAAGCAAACAAACAAAAATAATAACAAATAAAAGCGAAAGAGTAAGCCATAATAACAATATGAGTATATATAGCATATACCTAAAACAAAATAAATATTTAATCAAATAAGTTACGATACGTAGTTTGAACAGAACTCACAGAACGGTACTTCCAAGCAACTATAGAGCTACACAAACACACACTTACTTTCTCGATACCCTCTCTGCCGCATACCTATCATACATATATAACGCATAATAGGTATGTCAACGACGATCTTTGGATTTTCTATATGTTTTAGTTTGGATAACCCTGAAGGTTTATTTCTTATTACTTTTGAGCCCGTCAGAAGTATTACTTAGTTTAACCAAGCGCTTCAGAAGACATAAGCTATAAAGTAATTTTCAAAACAATTTCTTATAATTATTACATAAAATATATATAAAAAAATAAAAAAAAAACAAATGTTAGTAAAAGACTGAGCTACAAATAAAAAAAAATATCAATAATTAAAAGAAAACATCTATTAACATGAGGTAAATTTGAAAGAAGCAAACGGTTAAAAAACAGAATTTTTCCCAATTATTTTTGTTTATTTGTTTGCTTTGTTTTAAACTTAATATATAATTTTGAACTACATATATCTATCTCTATTGTAAGATATGTTAACATGCAATTATTTGTTAAGAAGTTCCTAAACGTATTGCATTTAAGTGAAATCAATATTTATCAAGTTTTATAGATCTACCGAATTACAAAACAATGGGACTTCTGCATTTCTTTATTGACAATTTATTTGAATAATTATGTGTATTTATAGCATATATGAAAATGTATGTCAAATTACGCACAAGTTTCGTCAGAGAAGAAAACACATTTATGGCTTAGAGATCATTGACGACGATCAGAACATGAGAACCTTGTACCCCAATATACGTAATGCAGTTGAAGTTTACAAATATTTTACATATATCGTTTTCCGATTCTTATCACTATTATCATTATTATTATATTACTTTCGATCCACCGTCTGCGCGCACTTAGGGCATATACAAGATCTATATAAAGCAAATACCTAAATACAAAATATATACATTCATACTACATACAAATGCTTTTAGCTTTCCTAGTCCTCTGATTTAAAAAAGAAACAAAAAACAAAAACAAAACATACTCGTACATAAGTGCGATTACCTACATTAATACATCCATACATAGTTGTCGAAGAGAGCGATTGTTCAAGCTTAATCGCAAAACCAAATGCAATCTGACCCAAAAAGTAACAATGTCAAAGTAAAAAAAAAAAATAAATAAAAAATAAAATCATTTGATTAAATCATCAAATCAGCATAAAAATGAAACAGAGAAAGAAATAACAAATTGAAAACGAGGAAGGGAATCAGAACGAATATTTGACTACGCAGAGGCATGATTAAGCAAATGAATGAAACATTTACAATTAACAGCATCTAAATAAATATTGAAGAAGAAGCAGAGGCAGAAGAACAGCGCATTCAAGTGTTAAATTCAAAAGCGAGACACAAAACAAATTTAACACAATATTATTAAAAAATTATTATATTGTACTATTATAACTGAAATATTTAGATGAAATGACGATTCTTAATTATAACATATTATTATAGAAACATACTGAAACAACAAGAACAAAAAATGATAAATGAACCGAAAACGATTATTAAATGAAAATATAGAGAATATTATATTATGAAACAAATTACTATTTAAATATTTATTATTTAATTAAGTTCAGTGGCAAAACTCGGATCAACGCCAACTTGGAAGTAAGTATGAAAACTAACTAAATAACATCTTGAATATTAACAAATATTTATATAAAATTGATTTTAAGTAATAGATTATCATAGATATATAACATCCCCCATAGAGAAGTGAATCATGACAGAAAATTATTTGATTTCTTCGTAATGCTCTTCTTGGCATTTTATTCTAGCCAAAAGTTTTGTGTAGTGCAGCACCACTATCTTTATGAACAGAACTATATATAGAACATGTATATATCCCTATATATATGCCTAATGTCAATTTTCTAGGAGTACTAACCTATCAGAAATCTGCCTTGAAATTAACTTTGTAAACAGCTATGAGCCTTGGAATGTGATTTATAGCTTCGTTTCATTCAAAATCTTTTGAATGTGTGTTTGAAATCATCTCATTTGAAGCTGATGCCTCTCAAAAATTAATTAATACAAATTCCGGCCTAGGGCATCTGCAGCATACTTTGGGGTAAAATGAATTGAATACAAATTTCTTAGAAAATTATGATTAGTAAATTGTGCAAGTTGAAAACAAGGAATAGGCAATCGTTTAGTAAAGTTGCGATAACCCCGGATCAACTGTAGACTCTGTAGTCTCTGGCACTTCCAGATAATCGACTGCGGCGAATCTGGCGCAGTGCAGCAACAACAACAACAACAGCAATGACAACTACACAATGAATTGTCATCAAGACGAGATTAAGGCTGGCGACATCAAGAACGAGAACTAGAACTACTTAGAACTATGCCTCTATTTGTATCTCCCCATTCATTATGTGTGTGTGTGTGTGTGTGCTTGTGCTTGTTTGTATTGATGAGTCGAGTAACTTGCGATTAGGTTTGAACTTTTGATTTCCGACTGTCTGCCATTATGTTCAAAATCAGTATCAACTTAGCCACCAGGGAGTTCAGAACATGGATCTGCCTACTGGGAGGAGTCGTCTGCTCTGGCAGCTACTACTGCTGCTGGTGTTGGGCGCTTGCCACGCCCAGTTCGATGAGGTACATGACGAGAGTGAAAGAGAAGCTTGGCTCCAGGGTGTGTTCACGCCGCAGCCTTTGCGGGTGGCACCCTGGCAGCTGGAGCCAGTTACACCGCCTCCGCCACCGCCGCCAAGTGGCGGAGTGCATGTGCCCGGTGTGGGTCAGGTGTTTGGTCAGCGTGGCTATAAGTTCATTAAGAACCGACCAGTCGATGCGTTCTTGGGCATACGCTATGCCCTGGTGAACAGTGGCCTCGGGCGTTTCCAGGCAGCCAGAGCGGCGCCCTACCAGCCGATCATCAATGCAACCCAATCGAGCCCCAACTGTGCCCAGTTCCCGGAAGTGCAGCGCCTACAGTTGACAGAGTCGCGCGGCGAGAACGTCGACGATTGCCTTACTCTGGATATCTACGCGCCCGCCGGCGGACGCGAGCTGCCCGTCCTGGTCTTTGTGCACGGCGAGATGTTGTTCGACGGCGGCGCGGAGGAGGCGCAGCCCGACTACTTGCTCGAACACGACGTGATCCTGGTCTCCATCAACTATCGACTGGCGCCATTCGGCTTTCTGGCGGCGCTCACCGAGGAGCTGCCCGGCAATGTGGCTTTGTCGGATCTGCAGCAGGCACTCGAATGGGTGCAGCGCAACATTCGTTACTTCGGCGGCGCCAGCAGCCAAATTACGGTCGTTGGGCAGGCAGGCGGTGCCACGCTGGCCCACGCGCTCAGCCTGAGCCCCAAGACGCAGCACTTGTTCCAGCAGCTCATTCTGCAGTCGGGCACTGCCTTGAATCCCTATCTGATCGACGAAAGGCCACTGGACACGCTGGCCACCTTCGCCCAGCTCGCTCGCTGCCCCAGCGCTGGCCGCAACCTCAGCCCGCTCTACGAATGCCTGAGTCGCCTGCGCACATCCCAGTTGGCCAGCATCTTTCAGCAGCTGTTGGAGCAGAACGAGCCACGCGGCCTCAGCTTCTTGGGCGGCTTCAAGCTGGTGGTGGGAGACTCCCTTGGCTACCTACCTGAGCATCCGGCGGCGCTTGTCGCCAGCAACAGCGCCAACAATACGTTAAAGCCCGCTATTATCGGTGCCACCAAGGATGCCAGCGCCTTTATAGTGTCCCGTAAGTGGTTCAGATTCCGAGAGGAAGTCCTTAATACACACCTGTTCAATCAATTCCCACCTTTTGTTCAACAGGCTTCTACGATCAAATACAGCGCTTGCAGTCGCAAAATATCAGCGATTACATCAATGTGGTGCTGCGGCACACCGCCCCGCCTCAGCAGCATAAGATATGGCACGACTTGGCTGTTCGCGAGATCTTTACGCCAGAGCAGTTGCGTTATGTAACCGCTCGCAGCGTGTCGCAGGGCTTGGTGGAGTTGAGCAATCTCATATTGTATCGGGCGCCCGTTGTCTACTCGATTCGTTCGTCCTACAAGAAGAACCCCACCTATCTGTACACCTTCGACTATCGCGGCGAGTATCATCGCTTTGCCCACTTTGGCAATCCGCTGCCGTTCGGCGTGGATGCCTCGCTGAGTGACGACTCCGTCTATCTGTTTCCCTACCCGAAGGATGCTAGCAATTTGAATCCCGAGGATAAGTCGCTAGCCCGCGCCGTAGTTGCCATGTGGGTGAGCTTTGCACAGACTGGCATTCCGAATCCGAACCCCAACGTATGGCCCAAGGCGTCATCGGAGTATGGCCCATTTTTGCGCTTTACCAATTCGCGGCAAAGCATTTTGGAGCTAGACCAGCACTTTGGCGAGAGCATCAATGTGCCTAACATATATGCCCAGTACTTCAACACCACCAACACCAGCACCACCACAACCACCACAACAACAACCAGACGTCCGTATTACCCCGCGCAGCCTTACAGGCCACCCCAGCAGCCCGAGTACAGACCACCACAACAGCCTTACAGACCTCCCCAGCTGCCCGAGTACAGACCACCCCAGCAGCCCGAATACAGACCACCAGCCTTTAACGACTACTACGCCAGGGAACAGGAGGTGCGCAGGCAACAGTTGCTGCGTGAGCAGGAGGAGCGGGAGCTGAAGCTACGTGAGCAACAGGAGCGAGAACAGCAACAGCAGGAGGCGCTCTTACGCGAAGAAGAGGAACGCCAACGAGAAGAGCAGCAACGCCAAGCAGAACTGCAGCGAGAGAAACTGCTGCGAGAGCAATTCGAGCGAGAGCAGCGACAACGTGAGGAGCAGGAGCGCGAGAACGCGGCTAGGCAAGATGTTGAGGAAGACAACGAGGATGAACGAGAGCTGCAGCAGCGCGAGTACGAGCTAAGGCAACAGCAAGAGCGAGAGCAGGAACGCGAGCAACAGCCACAGTTGGTGCCCATTGACTCGGAGGAGCAACGTCTGCAGCAGGAGCGCGAGGAACAGGAGCGGGCACAGGAGGAACGCGATCAGGAGTCACGAGAGCAACATGAACGCGAGCAGCAGCAACGCGAGCAACTGGAGCGAGAACAACAAGAGCGAGAACAGCAAGGACGAGGCGAACAGACATTCCCTGCGGATGATGAAAATCCGCCAGAGCCAAGTGCCTATCCGACCTACGAGGATTATGTCAAAGCCTACACGAGCTGGGTAGAGGAGCTCAACAATCGCTACAACCCAGAGGACTTTGCAAGTGCTGAGCAGGAGGCATCGCCTGACGACGCGCCTCTCAACGATCCCTATGCCCAGCCAGACGAAGAGCCTCTGTACTCCGATAACACTCCACGACGAATTAAACTCATGCGCAGATATCAGCGATTTAGTACCTAAATATAAATATAGAAAGTAATCACTGCCCTATTTCATTTCGATTTGTTAGCGTATATCAACAGATATTTTCAATTTTCATTTCAATAAATAAATTTATTTGCTGCTTTTTAACTGGTAAACCTGGCCGTTTTATTGTTGCATGGTGATAACAGACCTTAACGCCGGGGCAACAGACCCCAAGGTTATGTAACGATATTTGGCATAGTGCATTTTTTTAAGCGTCGCCTTTAAAAAAGGAATTTTCAGAAAAAAAAAATATTTTTTTATTGACAAAAATTATTTATTGCTTTCTAAACTAACATAGTTCGACTTATTTAAATCTATCTTTCATCATCTTTTTAGATTAAAGAATATAGGAACACACTATATAGGAACATTTATGTTGTGCATGTCAATATCTTGACTTGATAATATGCCATTAATGATAATGATATTATTGGTTAGCTACAAAAACTTTGTAATCTGAAAACATAGAGGATATTTGTTAGATTTTAAGTCCGTCTTGATAGAGTAATTTCAAATTACTCGAATGCCTGAGAGTTAGATTCTGATTCTGATTCTCTGAACGAAAAATGCAGACAAATAAATGAATGTATAAACAAATATTATTTAAATGAATGTATAATCTTGATTTGATTTTCCTACATACTTTTTAGATATTTTAGATATTTTAGAAAAGTTTATGTGAATTTAATTAATGTATTTTTCCTTTCTCTTGTATTCGATAATATTCTATGTATAAGGCTTAGCTCAACCGTGACGTACGCATTAATGATCGCTTCGATTATTAAGCTATAACCTTYGCCTATAATTAATTAATTTATGCACAAATATTTTACATGCTATAACAACGCTGGTTCAGATGAACTCTCTGCCAGATGGATAAATGTCATTGAACCCAAGTCCGAGCCGTTTAATGAGAGCGTCCAGGCCAGATCATTTCTATTTGCAAAGCCATATAGCAAAGTAAATACTTTCACCCACCGCAACGACTGAATAAGCTCAAGATAAAAACCAGTAGCATCCAATCCAACGACTTCAGTAAAATATTCAAATTAAAAAATCTAAAATTTAAATGGGAATTACCTCTGGCCCGCAGCTCTGAAAGTATAATTGAACCTAATCAATCCGATGCGAGGCGCCGACTTTCATTGTGCGTAAAACAAACAAACTGCCAATGCTCTAATGGTGATCCCCGACTCTGTCTGCTGTTTGCTTTTAGCTCTTGGCCAGCTAGTATTAATTTTCTGTTCGCAATTATATTGGGCCGCAGGGGCTCGAGATCGATCTGCCAAGATGGGTGAAAAATTTAATCGATCTGCGGCTTAACAAATTAGTTCAGTTTTTAATTAGAAGCGAACTTCGGAGAGAACCTAAAGACCATTAAGAAATTGCTGTCAAATTTCCCTTTTACTTTTGTTTGGATTCAATCAACGCCGCTGCAAGAAACCAGAGCAAACAAAGTCAACCACGAATTAATTGGTAGCCGAAATGCAAAATAATGGGACGACTACAGCAGCGCTACGTAGATGGGCATTGCTTCATTTCTATTTTTTTTATTTATTAATTTTTATTTTACTTTTTTGTTTTTGATTTATTTTAATCTTTCGTTTTCTATTTCGCATTCTACTTTTCGCATTCTGCTTCTTAATAGTATTCGCGCACCGGAGTGAAACTTTTACTGTGGTCAGGCAAAGCGATCGGACTAAAATCTAATCGCCCACTGCTGTCGAAGATCAGTTGAGTTTCGTACTTATGCGAGTGCTGTCGCATCTTGGCCAGCTTCCCAACATCCAAGATGCAGTTTTTGGCTCTGTGCGCGCTGATCGCATTCGGCGCAGTTCCCGAGGCAGAGGCACGAGTGCGCGGCCGGCTGTACGATGAGGAAAGGGATACTATTCTGGAGCTGCCCAAGCTGGGCGCCATTCAGGGCAAAATAGTGGAGACGGCGTGGACCAAGCGCGAGGTGTTGCAGTTCGTGGATGTCCGATATGCTGAGCCGCCGACGGGACAGCATCGCTTCAAGGTAATAGAGAGCGAGAGAGAGAGAGAGAGAGAGAGAGAGAGAGAGAGAGAGAATAAAAGACAGAGAGAGAGTGAGAGGAAGAAAGATGGAAGGAGTTAAGAGAGTAATTTAGAATAGAGTAATAGAATATCTGCCAATGTCAGAAAATATATGTAAGGGCTAGCGACGCTAAGAATTATTGAAATATCAGTTCCTCGAAGGTTTCTCAGTTTTTCGTAGTCGAGCAGTCTCGACTAGAGCTTTCTTACGTGCTTCATTGGTATTATTTTAATTAATTTAAATTTTGAAATAGTTTATAGTTTTTTACCATACAAGTGATTCCTACACAAGTTTTTTTGCGAAATGCTTTGAAGCATCTTCAAGTTTCTCTAGCGATCATAAATAATGCAAGATGTTGGGTACTACATATTTCGTTGTCTCAGCTCCATCCGCTCGACGAACATTTCACCCGAAACTCTAAGCCATTTATAAGCAGAGATAGACCAAACGAAAACATTCACCCAGCTCATTAATATTTATTTAAGCCCAGACCTAATCAGGGCTAACAGCTGCTGGTAACACCTAAAAGGGGCAAGAATCATTAAGATACGAATTTTCGCTTGATTGGTCGACAATAAATTCCGTACACTAATTAGGGCAACGTTTATTGTGTCCGTGGTAAGCCCATCAATCATCGGAATATAATTGTTGTGCTTCTTCCAGCCGCCACGTCCCGTTGAGCCCTGGGAAGATGTTATGGATGCGACAGCTGAGAAAATCGGCTGTCCGTCCGTCGTTTCGATGGACGCCCTGCAAAAGCTGGACGATGTCCTCGACGTGGAGGACTGCCTGACCATGACCATAACCACGCCGAACGTGACGGCCAGCCTGCCGGTGCTGGTCTACATACACGGCGAGTACCTCTACGAGGGCAGCAACTCGGAGGCGCCACCCCAGTATCTGCTGGAAAAGGATATAGTGCTGGTGACGCCACAGTATAGACTGGGACCATTCGGCTTCCTCTCGACCAAAACCGACGAGATACCCGGCAATGCCGGCGTGCTCGACATCTTCTTGGCCCTGCAATTCGTGAAGCACTTCATTAAGTATTTTGGCGGTGATCCGAGCCGCATCACGGTGGCCGGCCAGGTGGGTGGGGCGGCTATAGCGCATCTGCTCACGCTGTCGCCGATGGTGCAGCGCGGCCTGTTCAGTCAAGTGATCTATCATTCGGGCTCGGCCATTATGCCCATTTTCCTGGAGGACAATCCGCGCAAGCACGCCCAGGAGATCGCCCAGAAGGCCGACTGCCAGATGGTGACTGTGCGCGATCTCAACAAATGCCTAATGGAGCTGAGCGCCTTGGAGCTGTTGAATGCCTTTATGGAGCATGCGGTAGGTGAAATCTTTTGCTCCTCCAGCGAGCTTTACTCATGTCTTCTGCTCCACATACTAATTTATTGGCAGCTCGAGAAATCTGATCTGGGCATTGGTCATACCGGCGGCATTCAGTTCACAATTGGCGGTCCCAGCGGGGTGCTGCCCAAGCATCCATATGATCTCATGCTGGAGTCGAACTTCTCCTACCCCGCCATGGGTGGCTGTCCCAAGAATGCGGGCACACGTGTGCTCAATGAAATCGTGGAGAACGACTTTGAGGGCAAGATACCCGATGACGAATACAATACGTACGACTATATCGATCACGTCATACGCCAGGTGGTGGGCACCGACAAGACCATGCTGCTGACCAGCTTTGTTACCCACGACTTTTTCAACCGCCAGCTGCTCGAGAACGGAACCTTCGACACTCTGATTCCACGGCTAATTGATGTGAGTAGGAGTAGGAGTCGGTTAATACAATAATTGGTCTATTCTAAATGGATGTCTCTTCCAGGTGGCGGGCACCTTAAACCATAAGCTGCCCGTGCTGCTGGCGATGAACATGAACAACAAACACAATCCGGAGAACACGTTTCTCTATTCGTTCGACTATGCGGGCGAGTTCAATCGGTATCGCGACATGGACGAGGAGACGAACATGCAGAGCCCCTTCAAAGCTGGCGTTTCGCTCACCGACGAGGCGCTCTATCTGTTTCCCTATCCAGATCATGTGAAGCGCCTGAGCCCGCCCGATATGACGATGGCCCATCGCATGGTCGAGCTCTGGACAAACTTTATAATTACCGGCAATCCCCTGGGCTCCTATCGGTCCGGCTATTGGCCGCCCATGACCACGCTCTATGGTCCTTATATGAAGATCGACGAGACCCTGACCATTGGCGGCAACTACTTCACTGAGTTCTCGGCCACGCTGAAGGACGAGGAGCAGGGCCACAGTCTCATACGTGAGATTTACTACTTACGCAATCGAGCACATCGCAAGGTCCTCGGCCAGGCGCAGCGCAAGAAGCATGCGGCGAGTCTACTCAAAAAACTGGACGTACGAAAGAGTCTCGTCAAGCGCCCCAATCGCAACAAGATACGGCTCTAGGGTTCAGGCTACTAGACCAATTAGCTTACCAGTATTTCTAATAAGAGCTCGTACATAAATTATAATTATTTAATTGAATTTAATTTAAATTAAAGAAGTCGCGCTAGCTTTCCTATAATGCAATAATAATTAATGGATGAGTGGAGGGTAGAGTGGAGGAGTAGGTAGAGGGAAGAGTGCAGGGGAGGGTGGAGGGATGATTAAGGGAAGAGAGGAGAGGAGAATTGATGGGAGAGTGGAGGGGAGAGAATTTTATATATAATTTTTATTATAANAAAAAAAAAAAAAATCACTACTCAGCAACAACTACAACAACGACAACAACAACTTATATCGGTTGCATGGAATTCAATTAAAACGGAGACGCCACCGCAGCTGCCGCAGCCTCTGCTGCTGTCGCTGCTGCTGCTGTTGCTGCTGCTGCTGCTGCTGCTGCTGCTGCTGCTGCTGCTGCTGCTGCTGCAGTCGCTGCTTCAATGCCCAATGCCAATCAATTAATAAGAATTGTTCAGCAGATGCGATTGGGCTTGAATCGGAATTCGAGTTCGAATTGGAGCTCG